GGATCCTATTCCTCCTTCCGCCGCTGCTCTGCTGCCTAATCCTGGGCGAGTACATCCCCCCTGGGCATATGGTTCCCCTCCCTCCCTGACACATCTATTTAAACTGTAAATTCAGAGGGGTAGTGACCATCTTGGTAATGACGAAGCATCTACAACACTCTGCACTAATATTTCTATTAATAAATATTCCCACTGTTATTAAGTAATAAAACATGGACGTGGCCCTTAGTGCCATGATATAGTAATTGCAGTTGGATCAGGGGTTGGACTTGATGATCTTGGAGGTCTTTTCCAACCCAATCTATTCTATGATTCTATGATTCTATGAACATAAACCATGATAGAAATTGAACGGTCAATGATGCATTATATTAGTTTTGAGGTATTTGGGTATAAAATGTAAAAGACAAACTCTCCCAAGTAGTAGCAGGCCAGAGGACACCTATGCTCTTTTCCTGCATATTTGGGCAACCCAATTAGAGGTAATTGAGTTTTTAACTACATTAAATTACTTCAAGAATGCCATCACTAGAGGCTAAGTCTCTTAGGAGGCTGGAGGAAGGGAGCAAAGGAGCATTACAAAACTGGAAGGAACAGCAAAGGGATGGGGCATGCAGTTTGAAACAGCTGAAGAGAGCATGCATCTGAGCCAGTCTAAGGAATTAATATTTTTTATTATTCATACAAACATGTAACTAGTTGGGCTGCAGACTCAAAAGGTTTGCATGTTCCCAATGAATTAAAGAGGAGTTAAATACATCCACACTCCTATGCATTTTCAATCGCACAGATTTACCAGCACCAAAAGGCTCCTACAGTCCTGTAAACACCAGAGACATAAAAAGAAAACTAAATTACTGTAATGAAGTGAATTCCGGCTGCATTTGCAAACTGCCACTCGTGTGCAATGCATACGAGCACCTCTTTTACATGTTAAAATTAGCTCTACGTTAAAGCCACCTCCCAGTCAGAAATGGTCATGATATGCACCAAGAAACAGAAGAACAGTTCTATTGCCAGACCTTAGATTTGTTTTGCACACTCTGAGAGGCCCTAAAAATGCTACAAATGTCATTCATTTCTGACAACCTTTGCTCTTTCTGGCGGCTACTAAAATCTAAAGTACAAGCATTGACAGGAAATAGTATTTTTAGCACTACTGCAACAACCAAGAACAATAGTATCTTTTGTGGTTTTACACTGATTTGAGATTAGATTTAATAATACTTTTAAAGTATTCAGATAAACTGAAAGCCTATTTCTTAATATGATGAGCATGATAAGCAGAAAAGTGAAGCACCTTCTTCGCCCACTTACAGAAGTAAATCAAAGCTGACTGATTAGGAAGGTATGCTTCGTGCAGAGATGATATAATTTACAGAAATAAAATTCAAAAATTAATGAGCAAATAAACTGCAAAGAAAAAAAGCAGTTTCCATTTGAAAGGAGAAAGAAAAAAAAAATTTAACAAAATGAAAAATGAAGGAGACACTATCCCCATGAGCTAATTGTCTGTCTTGTGCTATAGGGGATGCTCTTGCTTAGCTTACAAGTGCAAGACACTCCCTCCTCCCCCTGCAATAGGAACTACACAGCACTAATACGACACCTTAAATGAGCCAACTTCCTTGAGCATTACCCGGGAGACTAGAATGGGCATGCCTCTTAATTCAGAAACCGAGAAACATGTCCAATTATCAGTCAGGCTGAAGAATATCTCTGACCAAGACCATCCCAGGAAAAACACTCATGTTCAAGCTGAAAAAAAAAAAAAAGTGGATTGCCACAACAGGCATATTTTTATAGCCTTTGTGTAAACACAAGCTCTGGATTAGCCAGCATCTCAACTAGCTCTATCTGGATTTCCTTCTTTTGAAACAGAATTAAGGAAAACATCCACCAGTGGCCAAAGTATTAGGGAAAAAAAAAAAAAAAAAAAACACAGGGGAAAAAAAACATACATAGTGATTCACTACGTGTGCTGCGAAACCCTAACAGTGAGCACAAAACAGACCCTCCACAGAAACTATACTTAGCTTGCAGAATTGTTGAGCCAAACACAGCATTAATTAGCATTGTATTTTTTAAGAAATTCTCAGTACTCCCCTAGAGCTGCCCCCACCAATGTAAGCGGTGTGAACCCCATGGCTTAGAGAGGAACAAAGCAACTATAACGAGGGGTACCCTTGAAGGGCAGTGCAACAAAAGTTCTACCTGCTCCAAGTGTACAACTATGCAAAACAAATGGACTGAGCATCTCAGGCTTTTAGAGAAATATTCAACCTGGAACACATTAAGCATCTCGTAAGGTGAGAGCCCAGGTGAGGAATTCACCTTATGCTGTCACTAGAACACAGTCATGGATCATCAACTGCACCAAATCAGATACAACAAGCAGTGTTTTTTACAAAACTAACTCTGTTCTGAGCTGAACGACTTGCATTTGACTACATGAACTTTCCAAAAGGCGTCCCAGTCCTGATCTGAAAAACATCAAGAATTAGAGATTTCATCGCATTCCAGAGTCGATTTTAACAGAGAGGCCAATTAACCAGCGGAACATTGTGAACTTTAGGTCTTATTTGTTCCTTCAGTTCCTATTTAGATCCCATTTGTTTAACTAAGGTTACTGGTTCTTGCCACATTTACTGTCGCACTGTTCAGATTTGGCAAGTTCTGTATTGAGGAGGCACTTACTGTAAACTGAGTCATCTCTTAACCTTCTCCTAAACTAGAGGCAGAACCCAGTACGAAGCATATCTTTCTGCCTTGGAACAGACCTTCGTGGCTCAGCTCCTCTGTGTTCTGATTTTCATATTCAGAATACAGCTGGCAGAATTCTTCAGTCCATGAGTCTTCCCAGCACTGCATTCAGAAGGAAAAGTCCTTCCCTATTTATTGCTGTACTACTATTCACATATCCAAGGCCCACACACACACACACGCTGTGGCTAAGGGTCAAATTGCTTTACTTGCTTAGCTAAACTTCCAAATCCTCCTTACGGAGCCTGTTATTTACTCTTCTATTTATAATTTTGCATTTAGCCATATTAAAACACATTTCATTCAAATGAAGCCAGCTTGTCAAAGCAGCCCTGTAAACTGCCAGCTTGCATGTCATCCATAGAAATTCAACATCTGCTTTCAAACACTGAACTGTGTCCGAGCAGAACACCCACAGAAATACTCCCACGCTGTGGCAACCAGCAACTATTTTAGAAATTACAAGTCAGCCAGTTAATTCATTTATTGTACAGAATCTCAATATTGTTACTATTGTGCAATGTAATTTCTATATAATTCTAAAAATCAATGTGATGTAATAACTACATCAAGCACCCTATAAAGAAAATATGGAAACATTCATCTTTCTCAACAAAACCTGTAATTTCATCGGTGTAAAAGCTGTTTTGCTTGATGTAATCCATTTTCCATAAATAGTCACCAGCTTCAAATATTCCTCTCCTTAACTTCACTGTTAACTGCATTTATTCTTAAAATCTTTTTCCAAGTTGTTCTTTTTTTAATCTAGGACTAAAGTCAGTCAGGGTGAGATTTTTCATTTGTTTGTCTGGGACCGAACAAATTAAATTAGTCATCTACTCATACTTTCTGAACACTGATAAAGTAACAATCAGTCATTTGGAGTATCCCCTATTATTCCAAATGTTAAGATTTAAATGTCATGACACCAGAAATCGCCTTACTCAAGTCTTTCACCATTCCTGGATGAAGTTTACTTAGGGCTGCAGATCTGAAATGTCCACTACTGCACACTGCATTTAATATCCATTTACAAATGCATTAGAAACTGCTTCCATTGTCCTCATCACGTGGCATAAGATTATCTTCTTCCTTTTCCCAGAAGAAAGGTCAACAGCTTTAAGAAATTCTGACAATATATTTTAACAGCAAGAAAAAGTATGGGCATTCAGTTAAAATATATTTATACACAACAACAAACACTTTCTGTCCACTAGCTTTTCTGCACAAACAGAAAACACCACACTAAGCATATCAATCTCCCCCAGACTCTTAGATCTCAAAAGAAAAAGGAAGAAGATAGGGTTTATACTACAGGAAAACAAACAAACAAACAAAAAAACCAATCTGCACAACTTTGTAAAAGCTGAAAGTACTTTTGGAAAAATAAGCTGCAAATGCTTCTACACTGTGAACTCTCTGGAGCTAATGAACACAGCACAGAAATCCCTGACAAAATAAATTGCTTAATGGATGGGAGACTAGTCTGATGCAAAGGTTTTTGCTTTGCTGACTTGTTGGTTTGTTGAGGAGGGTGTAGAATATGTTGGTTATTTTCAAGACATCATTTACCATTATCAATTCTAAAATACAATTCTAAAAATCTAAACAAAGTTCAGAGTTAGGTGCAAAAAAGATCTGTAACTCATGCTCTCACCCCTAAAACCCCTCCACGAAAATTTGCATTTCCACACAGGTTGATGTGTACTTGTACCAGATTGTGATGAAGAACAGGAATGCTGACAGATCTTTATTTGTCACCGTGCAGTAACACGTTTGAAAAAATACTTGTTGCCTCCTAGATTCCAGTAACAATGAAAACAGCATCCTTAACCACTAAGTATAATTTTCTAAATTGCCTGTCTCATACTCTAAGACTATTCCAGTGCTTAAAACCTGAAGAGTGCACAACCTCTTCTTGAATCTCCAAAATTTCAACTTCCAGAACTGTTACACAAATGAGAGACAAAAAATAATTCGGAGTACAGCACAACATTGCAGGGAAAAAGGTATAGCTTGTTTTTTGACAACTACACGATGAAAATATTTCATGTATTCCAACTATCAGAATGATAAAATTCTTAGATTAATTCCTAATTACTTATATAATCAGAAAAGAACAGTCTATTTCATATAATATGCAACTCGAGTTTAAATAATCTCAAAATTTCATTTGAGGAAATCTTTGAAATCTTTGAAAAGCATTAAAAAAAAAAAAAGAAACAAGCAAGTCTTACCATTTTGATGCCAGTGGAAAACGTGACTGGTTTGACAGGTTTGGGTTTTTCCAGTTGCATTTCTAGCTGTGTAGATCTGTCCTTATGCTGAGCTAAAAGCAGCGAAGCAGGAAGACTGGAGCTCTCCTATAAATATGAGGAACAAATTTAAATGCTAAAACAAAACAAATATTAATTAATGCTACATATTCTTCAAAACTGCCAGCTGTGTCTGAAAGGCCATCGCTAGCAGAGCAGTGTAACGCTGAGTATCCTCCCTACGAGAAACAGTTTACAGAGAACGACCATTTTCAGTAATAAGAAAAAGCTGCAGCAAACCCATAAATCAGAGTAACCTGCAAACAACCATTTTTATAGAATCCACATTAAAGACAATATAACAGGCTCCTTATTCCAAATGGCCAATGCAACTATATTTATTAAAATTAATAAAAAAAAAAATTAGAACTTAATCAGAGAAGGAATAATACCAAGTAGTATAACTTGGATCAGATGTTTATCTAAGACACATTCTTTCTACCAATGAACTCAGACCAGTTTGAAATTGTTTCCCATTAGATTTCACCTGAGGCCGTTTGGAAATGATCCTTGCTCTGCTCTGCACAATGGCACTATTGTAACTGCAACCAACAGCATATTTATTTTCTCCTTCACCAACTTATTTTTAGGGAAGTCAGCCAATTCTTAAAAAATGTATAAAAAGTAATAAAATTAATAGTTAAGCAAATGAACTACTTAAACTCTCTGAACAGAACAATCCTACAACAGAATTATTATTAACATACCTATACGTACTGCATTCTTGAGAGAGTCAGAAAATTATCAGCCAAGTAATTTTCTAATAAACTAATGTGACTATCCACATGCACACCAAAATCCTCGAGACTTCCTAGCTAGAACAACCATAAAGCTGAGAACAGAACAGGGAAGAAGTTCAGACGGATTCTTCCTGGATGGCTCTAGCACAGTATTTTTTTCCTAAGGCCCTCAAATGTCACTTATACTTCTGTTTCATGGAACCAAGCAAATACTGAAATATGAACCATATTTTTTACTCACAAAACCAAACAAGCTTTAATAAACTGTACTGTGATTTTTCACTTCTAACATTTTGGGGTAAGAAACTGGAAGTTTTTAATGCTGTGAGATGCCTTGCTGTTCATGGTATCCTAGAGAAGTCTTCTGAAGAACAGTCATGTTGTACATGGACTTTTCACATCACCCTCCAGTCCTTCTTACTCTCTATTTTTTGTTACACTCACTTTGTCTTACAACTAAAACTTCTGCTAAAAGCAGAAAAATCTCACATGACAAGATCTGGTCCAGAGTCACAAATACAACAACTAAGGCACAGGATCCTACTCACGTTTTTGTGATTAACCAGGAGGAGAGGAGGGAAGAGGTTAAAAGTCTAAATTGTAACAATAAGAGACATCTAATTTCTGCACAACTGGGAGAAAATCTGGACAACTAATGCATTAGTTTACATCGAAGTTGGTATCTTTGAAGCGCTGTACATATCTGTAAGCACCATCCAGCAGCATGTGCTGCTAGCTGACAGTACAGTTCAAGGAAGTTAGATTCTTTTAATCACCAGATTTAAAAGGCTGGGGGAGAAGGGAAGAGCATGAAGCACTCACTAGTTCATTTTGCCCCCTTGTATTCCTTAAACATTCACTGCATTTCTAATACAATAAAGGAAGCCAATTTTTGTACCAACTTCTCAAGAGTTCACACAATGACCGGTAACCAGATTACACAACTGTGGGAAACCCACACCGTGCCAGCAAGCCACCACGTCTGTGATTGTTTGTCCCTTCCAATATGCACAGAGCCCTTCTGTTAACCATTAACACACATGAAAGGTCCAATCCTGAAAGCATTTATCCATAGTAGCCATTTTCTGTATGGGAAAACAAACTGTCTAACAGTATGAACAAATCTAGTTATATGCAAAAATTTCTGAAAGATTTGTCTCCAAAACCTCTGAGGTTCTGGTAAAAGTGGGGACACTTTATGGTCTTTAAGGCACCTTGCTCCAAGCTATGCCACAGCCCAGGGAAAACCTGCCTCTCTGCCACATGCTGCAATGCCATTCTGCTCACGTCTGGGAAGTACGGGCTCCTGAAGAAGTAAAGGCAAGTCGTACAACACAGCAGACTAAGAGCAGATCTACAATCCTCTGTATACAGGTGAGAGAGTTTATTCAGTAAATATTTTACTCAGCTTCGATTATCCAAGTCTAGAAGATTAAAAAAAAAAAACCAAAACAAAACAAAACACACACACAACCCTTCCAAGAATATGTAAAATGCATTTGAGGCTACAAGTCTAACTTACAACAAGGTCTCGTGCTTTTAAAGTGAGAGGTTTTATTGTAAAAGAGGTGATTTGTAATAAAGGTAATATAAAATCTACCTAATTTAGTACTGGGAGGCAAAACAGGCAACAAGTAACAGCTTAGGCAAGGCACTTGACTGCTCTTCCCATAGCCTGCAGAGCCTCAGCCACCCACGATGCCTCATTCAGCTTTCCAGCAAGTGACACTGGCCTTCCCATCCCTAATGCCACCAAGGACAGGCTCGGGGAGCCTTGGCCCCAGGGCCAGTCCTTCCTGCACGAGCCACCACACTCCTCAGGCTAACCAGGAACCAAGCCAGCTGCACGACATTTTAAATACCAAACATTTCTGTGCCTTTTTCCCTGCCTCTGGACTATCTAAATTATAGGCTCTTTCAAGAAGAGACACCATTCTCTTACACTTTTGTAAACAACTGAGACCTTTACTCAAAATGATACCACGATAATATATGTAAGAAACTGTGAATCTCCTCAGTCATTAGGATTTAAGCAACAAAGGTAAAATTCTCTTCTTGGAAGAGGAAAGACCCAACATCTCTACCCACACCACACAAAAAAATTGTCTTAAATTTTCTCTTGCTGTCCAGTATGGGAGAAAAAATAAAGAAATCTTGAAAAAAATGACCAAGACCCAGGTCAAGTGGGCTGTAGGTTCCCAGCACCAGGTGATGTATCCAAAAGAGACTATTCCAAACCAACGTGAAATGTCGGCTTCCCACCTTCCTCCACACTCACAATCCTGCCGAGTCAGCAGTTTTGCCACTGGTATCACTGTAGTCAGAACTAAATCCCTGTTGTTTTAGCACAGTACCACCAACCACAGATAGAAGATTATTTTTTTTTTTGGTAATGTAATTTTTTACTCTGCTGCTGCTTATGCTTGGCTTCTGCTGCATTTCTCAGCTAAGTTTCACTTATGATCACCTTCATTTTCAGATTTGCAGCGCAGCATTAGAGGGGTTTCAGAGACCATAGGAAATGTTTATTTGTTTAACAACTGCTGGTTTTTCCAGAGACTTTGTAAGTCATTATACAAATACTTCAGTGCTGGTTTTATAAACCTTTAGTATTACAAAACAAGTTTGGGCTCAAATCTAAGTTGACAGTGCCCCTTCATAAACAGAGACGCAACTTAAAATTGCCCAGTTTCCTTCCTCAGCCTTTAAAAATCACCTGTTGTTATTAGAATATTAATATATGTTTTAATAGCAATACATATGCAATCACAGTTAAAACTACCTATTTTGGTTATGTTTCAAGGATTATTTATAATCATTCTTTCCTCAAGTCATCTGGTAAAGTAGCTTTCCAGTAAAACCAACTGCTCTGTAAAAAAAAAAACAAAACACACCACCAAAAAACAAACAAAAATCCCAAACTACCAAACAAACACCAAAAAACCACACTGGTCTCCGGTAAATTAAGAATGTGCTTTAGAACAGGACTGAAGTAAGTCAGAAACCAGTTTAAAATTCCTATTCTGAGCCATTAAATTCAATTTCATAGTGGTGATTTTATTAATTGATCCACTACTCATGTCTGTACACACATAGGTGTATTAAAAAATTGAGACATGAATCTTGTTTAAATAACATTTATTAAGCTTCTCTATGCCCAGAGATCATCATTGCATTTCAGATGCAGAATCAGTAGTAAATTCAGACAAAGACAAGATTAACACAATTTCCAGAAGCAGCTGAGTTCTTCTTCAGTTCTCTATACACCCCTGAAATGAATCCAAGCTTTGTTCACTTCAAAAGGAGCAACTCGTACACAAAAAGTTTGCAGTAAGAGAACATGACACACTCAAGGCAAGAAATCTTTTTATTTTAGTAGTTTCTGAATACAAAGAGACCACTTATCGTCTAGGTGCTCTGACTCAAAAAAGGATTGACCAATGCTCAAATAACTCATGAGATTACTGTCCCCTCTTCTCCATCATCTCCCCCTTGCAGAGGTGGCTGAACTCATGAAGTAGCTCCTGGTTACCACTTTGCTTCAACACACTGGGTTGTCAACCACTATTCAGAACTGCTTAACAAGCCAGCAGTGGTAAAGAGTTCACATTAAGGCTGAACCAACGCAGCAACTTCTCTCTACCCGCCTCACAAATGGCATGATCAGCCATGCACCAAAGCAGATGCAACTGTCATCAGCTGAAGGAAAAACAGGCAGGAGGTTACATGGCCTTGTCGAACATGACAGAACCCCAACCATCACCCGTCAGGCTCAGGGTAGAGTAGTCACCATATCAGCTATGCTAATGCACGCCATCCTAGATCACAGTCAAAGTCCATGGCTTTCATATTGTCAAGGAATTAAAGAGAAACATGGACTTTTATACTGGCTCTGCTTCAGGTACGAAGTCAAATGTTAAATAATAAGTAAACTGGTAGAGTGGCTGGACTCACTAAGGCAGTTTCTGAAATATACCTCCACATGTCAATTAGCAACAAGAAGAGAGCTTTCAATGGAAGCTCAGTAAGAAATGAACCAAAAAAATTAAAGTAGGTAGAACCAGGAAAATAAGCTTTGTCAAATACTCAAATGCTTCTGCATTTTTCTTTGTTAGAATCTTATCTAGGATTAATTTTGTGTAGAAACAGCCAAGAATGCTTTCCTAGAATTAATTTCTAACCAGCACTGGACATTCTGGGCAATAAGTCCAATTAAGTCTATGAATCTCAGAAACACTCCTCCTCCAGACCTTATCTTACCAAAACCAGAGTTGTTTGTAACATTGAAATGAATGAGAGGTGAGAGAACAGTAACACAAAACATGCAAGACAGGGAAACAATGGGGCAAACGTGTTAATTCCACACAGTTAACCATGGTGGAGATGAATGTCAATGTACTTGCTGTTTGCTCTGCTACTGAACATTCAAAGCCTCTGGTTTTGTTACTCACCAGATCATCCAGGAGTGCCTGCTTATTCTTCCTTTTCATCATTTGTTGTAGTTGGTCTTCTTTCTGTATGAGCAGTCGCCTTTGTTCGTTTTCCTGTCGCTCTACTTCTAAAGCTTCCTCCAGCTCTTCCTGCTCCCGTGTCTGAAATGAAAATTAGGAATCAACTCATAGCAACCTTCTTCCTTGGGTGGACAGAGCTCACCCACAGCTCTGCTGCCTACCAAAGGACTGAGGACAGACCAAGCAATGAGGAAGCAGACAAATTCTACCTTTTAAGGTAAAATTTAAGGACATTATGGATTATGATTTTATCTCCTCTTATTGTTCAGCACAAAACTAGATTTTTTTTTTTCTCTTCCTTGCTGCTCTCTGCAGTAGAAACCAACCATCTGGATCGTGGCTCTGTAAATGTTAGAGAATGACAATGGCTTTTCCTTATACCTTTGCCCTAAAATGACCCCCTCTTAGTTCCCACACATCTTCTCAAGTGATGTAAGTGGGTGACCAAAAATATAATCCCACAATGCTGTTCCTGATTGCCCCCCATCAGCTGCAACTTGTGTGCAACGTACACTGTGTGTAGAAGAAAAATAAGAAAGTACAAATCTGTGAATATTAACAGAGAAACTTATAAGCTAAAGCATACTTAAGCATGAACTGTAAAAAAAGTCACATTCGCAGAAAATGAGGAATTTTTCCTATAACTTGGACTGAAGTCATGTGCCACAAGAGAAGGAAAGAAAAATAACTAGTACCTAGTGACTATTTGTTGTTTCAAGATTTACTTCTTGAGAAGTCTTTTTTAACCTGTAAACTATTAAGTCATCTGTATTTGAAAATAACAGTGGAAGGGGGGTAAAAAAAAAAAGAGGAGGGGTCAAAGACAGGAAGGGGGGATGGGAAGGATTACAGCTAAACAACTTTATGCAGATGAAGGGTGGTAAGGAGGTATAGGACAATTACATATAGAAAACATTTTCCAAATGTTTCCCAGCAAAAATCTCCCAGCAAAGGCAGATTAAGTAAAAATGCAGAAATCATTAAAACTTTATAAAACTTAAATGGATGATTAATCCATGGAAGCAGTTTCAGCAAAACATTACTGCAGCCAACAGCTTAGTAAAATCTGTTCCTGTAACAAAAAGACCTAAATTCATATCATAAAGCACAGCAATCTGATATATGCCAGAATATGCTGAAAAACATCCCTTTAGCAGGCAGATCAAGCCAATGGGTCCTAGTGAGGCCCAGTTCCTTCTGGATACAAGCACTGACAGATCTCATCACCTGCCACCAAGCCAAGAGAAGCTGCTTTCATTTTGTAACTAGCAGCAGCACTGTTAAAGAGCTGCTCTCCAACCAGTGACCACCTGAAACCGGATTCTCTTTGCATTTAATGAAAGGAAACAAACAAACAAATCCCCTAGTTGCTAATTGCGGTTATTTCTGAGAATTAAGGGATCTAGTTAGTTCAGTCAACAGAACTGAAGAGCTCAGGGTCTTTAGGATATTCCAAGCCTCTGCAAGTTTATATCTAAAGACTGCCTGGAATTTGCACTGAAACAGAAAACTTGTAGGAAAGTCCCAACAGACCTAGACTGAAGAACCAGTCCACAAAAATTATAGCCAGAAATAAGTAAAATGATATACAGACCTAAACCAGACCAGATCAGAGGAAAAAGGAAGAATTATCACAAGTCAGATCAAATTATTTCTGAAAGGAAGAGCAGTAGAACAGAAGAGAGGTGTTCAATAGGCAGCAGGGGTTGTGTCAAAGGTAATGTAGACACAGTCCCAACATCTAAATAAATAGTGATGATCATGGTGAAGCCTGAAGTAAAGTCAAGATGGCAAATGGTAAGAACTAAATAGAAAGTGTAATGTTTCACCACATTCAAGAAAGGACAATCAAGAAAATTTAAACACATTCACACTACTAAATCCAGACAAAACTGCTTCAAGACTGAACAAAGCAGCAAGCGAAATTAAACATCTAGTGACAAAGTAGGAAGTAACAGGTCATCCTACAACTGCAGAATAGCAGGTTTTTAAGGAAGATGGCACATTTGGGGAAACTGCAGCCGACCCAGTCTGCAAGGCTTTAAATATATAAAAAGTATGTGTGTGCATACATGTATCTATCTGAATTTATAATGACAAGAACCCTTTCTCCAAAGAGTTCTTCACCTTTTTATCCAAACCTGTCTACTTCAGCTTCTTCTCTGCACAGTCCTGCATCAAATCTACACATCTAACAGATGGGTTAATACATGAGTAGCAAGGTCATTAGGAACTGGATACAGAGATTAAGAATATGGCTTCTATTGACAGAAGAACAAACAGTTATTTAAATTCTAAGGTGACTGCTTCAGTAACTTAATATTTTGATTTATAAGAAAGATTTGTCGTAAGGACAGAAGTAGCAGAAGTGAGATGAAAATGAACTACAAGGCCATAGATTTGGAGACATTAATTCATCAGTTAGAAACCAAAGAGGAGAAAACACGATGCACTGTTTGACCACTATGGCTTCTGAACCTCGCATATGACAGTGCTACAAGAGAAGAACAGTCTTAGGACCACGTATGTCAACATATTTCCAGAAGAGAAGGGAAAATGGTGATATTTTATAAGAGGCTGTTAAGATCTTTGGCTACAATACTGCATTCAGTTCTGGTCCCTTCTACTTGCCAAACACAAATTCAAACTGGAACAGGCAAAGAGTAACAAAAACACCAAGGGGAACAGAGAACATCTATATTCCTCAGAAGCAAACTGTTACAGTGGACAGGAAAATTTATGTCAGTCCAAGAATGATGGGACAATGACTAGCATAAGAAGTTTACGCAAGAAATGAGGACTCCTTTTACCATTTAAGGATTAAAGACACTCCAAAACCTGCCAAAAAGAGCTAGAGAAACTACCCTTTCAGCTTTTGGGAGAGGGGTAAATTTATGGGCAAGATCACGCAGTTTTTGTAATAGCAACTGCGTCAAGTCTATTATTACGTTTCAATTGTTGAAAAATAAATGTTGAATGTTTCAAAGGTTGAAAAAGAAATAAAGAATAAATGTCTCCAGATCTCCAGTAAGCCTGGATTCACGCAGGCTTGCCCCAGCTTCCAGCAGACACCCTCTTGCACAGCAAGACCGTAGAGTACAGAAAGCAGAAGGCCCAGGGGGCTTGGGTGGGTACAGAGTAATACTGTGCTGCTTGATACGATCACACAGCTGGTGCACAAGCTGCCCGTGAGTCACGTACGTGAACCTTCGGAAGGTGGGCTGCAGGCAAAGCACCCTATTCTCATGGTGACCCACCCTAGAGGTTGCACCTACATGGTAAAATAAGACATGTAGCCAAAGCTTTGGCAGGTCTCTTCAAGCTCTGAAGCATAGGATATTGCACAGTGTCAGAGACAGGATAACAGATCAGAGATGGACCCCTGGGGAAATTTCCTTGCCTTTAAAAGGAAGAGGTTCAAACAAACATTTTTCAGATTCCAATCTCCTCCTGTGAAATCCTAGAGCTAAAGAAATCACTGGGAGTTTTGCCACAGACTTCAGGGGAGTGAGGATTTCACCCCTACTGATTTGAAAGCAAGTCCTTAGTGCAACTGGAATACAAACACAAAACCTTGTTATGCCACACTCTGGGCAGACATTTTCCTTCAAGAACCGATAACAATGTGTATTTTTATACTGAAAAAATATTTAACAGATTAAACTTTTCTTACAGAAAGAAATGCACACAAATTTATTTTTAAAGAACAAATTATATCTGAGACATATTTTAATGAATGGATTTTTCAAAGAACCATGTGTTTTGCATATAGATCACATATACGATACTCATGATGTTACTGTTATCAGCTCTTGAACAAAAGTTTTAATGTTTGTTTCAACATCTTTCATTTTAAATTTTGCATAAACCAGACCTGTGCTTTCCCTCAATTTTACAACTCTCTCCTGGGAGCTTCATCATGTCTGTGTCTGGATTCTTTTTTTCCTTTGGATGAGAATGGAATGATTGTCCTGGTATAGAAATGAACTTGGTCTCTCCTGGATATTGTCCAACGACACTGCCAGCACAGATGCGGTGGTGATGTATTAGATGCAGACTTTACTGCCTGTCCCTCTTTTCAAGCCCTTTCCTAAATAAAGCATAACTACATTTCAACTATCAATTTAATCTCTTTACACGGCACTAAATATCAGTATCAGAGAACATCAGCATACTGCCTTCAGCTTTGGCTTTTTTTTAAGACATTACAGAAAGTACTCCACTCAAAAATCCTTTAATTCTTTAAGGAATAAAAATTGTAGGGGAGAGAAAAAGTTAACTAACCAGTTTTAACTTATTTTTCTGAATGACTTCTTTGTTATCCTTCTGGTACAGCTCCATTTTCCTTTTGGTGTTCTCCAAATCCACATTGTTTGTCAAGTTAAATACTGCATAAATATTAGAAAGACAGAAAGCAAAAGTATTAGGTCAGCATACACGACTATGACAAAGAACTACTACTCATGTTCTCTAACCCTTCTAGCACCAGATATAAACATCACAATAAGAGAATTTATTTAAATATGCCTTGTAAAGCAAGGCACACTCAATCTGCTAAACCACTGCAAACTTCAACAGAAGTCATCAGAGTTCCTGTAGGTTTACATATCTGTAGGAGATTAAAATTTGAGAACTACATCCTATTTTGTGATACTGATAATGATACACATGAATAATCATAATACTATTCATAAAACATTGACCTTTTCAAGTAGCAGTTACAGCTAAGAACACAGTGATTCCTGTAAAATTAAATTAAACACATAGATAGTATGACAAGGTCAGAAATTAAGTAATTTCATTTTGTAAGATTATCTCATGCACAAAGACTACAGAGACGGTATAAATTCTCAGGTACACAAGAAATGTTCACATTACTTTATAACTTAAAAGGCACCAATGTACAATTACCTTTATTATGAGGAATCTGCAGATGCACCTCGATTAATAGGTTAAATGACATTCTTTTGATGTCTCTCAATAGTGACAGACTATATCTCACATAATTATGAGCAAGCAGGGCCGGCCAGCCAGCAAGCTCCATACTTTAGCACAACATTCCCAATTATCTACACATGGCACAGAAGATATCTCAAGAAACTGAACAGTTTCTATAATCAACAGCTTGAAACACGTAGATGGTTTGGATGATTAGTAATTTGATACAATGCCTGAGCCTTTCACCTCTAGGTCACTGGTTCAACTGTGGGTCAAGTGAATTCCAACTGAAAGCCATTATCACTGGGAAGTTGCTTGGTGATCACCATCCAGAGTGGATGCTGGGCTCATGCCCATGGCCTTAAAGCTATCCAGTAGTGCTCATGTACAGCCCTGAAAGCCTCAAAGAGCTTTGTCACGTGGCTACAGTAAATTTACAGGAGCAGCAGAGAAATTTGCACTGCCATTGATAAATCCTTCACAACAATGGCACAGCAACTGCGCTAACTCAAACCCTAAGGAAGGGAAGGAAGTTCTAGCAGAAACACCAACACAAAAATTGGCAGGTTTTGGGTCAGTTCTCTCTTCCTAGGTTCACAAGTGATTGGGCAAAATGAACCCTGGGCACCTACACCACTGCCAATCATTTGTGTAAGGCTGCTAGAGAGAAATGGAAGGAAGCACGAATGAAGACTGTGTTGTTACTCATCAGAACAGCACATACGTCTGTTTGGTAAAGATTATATCCCTTCTTTCATCCTCTCCACGGGTAACCTGCCAGAAATGAACTTTTAGGAGAGTTCTAGGTAAACCAAACCATGAATAGTCTAGACTGGCAAACCAGTTGACAGAAGCAAAGGAAACAGCAGGAAATCAAAGCAGGGAGCAAATGAGGGCAGGGGGAGAAAACAAAGAAGGTCCAAAATGCCAGAGTTCAGTTCTACAAACCCAGATGTAGAGCCAAAGAGCAGCAGCCCTGCTCTTACATCCCTCTTCCCAGCATGTCTTGCCCTTTCCCCTGCTCTGACTCCCGGGACTCCCTGGATGCTTTGCAGTGTCAACAGAAACCCTCCAGTAACTTGAACTGGCTTAGCAAAGGGGTCAGGCAAGTGCCAGAGACAGTGCAAGGGAAGTAAGAGAAATGTACAGAGAGGAATACAAATATTCTCTTTCCGGGAGTACAGAACCATCACATCCTCTTCTTCTTATCAAAAGTATTCAGTCCTTCCTTGAACTACAGCAAAAAAGAGCTACACAAGATACAGCTGAAGAAATTTCTAACTTTAAGCAAAGAAACAAAAAAGTTGTATTTAACTTTTTCTCCTGTTTTCCAAATAATGAGCAATATCAAGAGGACTGCTATTTTAATTCAGCTTGGCTCCTAAATCAGCTGAACTCTTCCACTGCAAGCCCATCATCCTCACTTCAGAAGTGATCTGAGATGCAGGCTGGTTTTGTGGTTTAAGCATTTGATTTGGAAACAAAACCTGGGTTCTGCTTCCAACTTTGCTACTGTTCCTGGGCCAATCGCTGGGCCCCCAGACTAGAGATGTCCTACCTGTAAATAAAGCTTCCTTTCTCCTATGCACAGTCTGCTGTGTCTCCTTACTACAGCCACATGCAGCACCTATCTCTGTAGTCTGGATCTCACCTCAGGTGGAACTTCTGGGCACTGCGATAACCCAAACAAGACCTCCAAAGTTCAGCTCTGGGTTTTTGGAAGCAAGTTACCCGTTTCAAATGTATTTAATTTTTTTTCTCTCCAAAAGGCATAACGTTTTCCAGTTTCATATTGCAGCATACATACACTTCCCGGTTATGCCAGCATCTCCTTCATAAAACACATTATTTTAGTCAATATTTTGAGTATTTCAATGGAGATTTGACATCCAACTTCCCATCCTACAATTCCCTGCTGACAAGCAGCTTAATATTTGAGTATTATGGTAGAGAAGAATTGTCATGTGAAAATGCTGGCATACAATCAGACCGGGGCCCTGCAATGACAGCAGCTGCATGGGAATGTCAGCACTTCCTACAGCTTAAATCCACACATCAGGTCTCTCAACTCTTCAATGACGACACGAGAAAGAAATAGGATATGAGACATGCTGTGCTAGCAGGATGCCCAGATGCCACCTTCAGGTGCAAGAGGAGGAGCAAGATGAGATGCCAAATGCCTCTGGGCTCCTGAACATCTTGGGTATTTCTCTAAAAATAATCCAGTAATAAGATGATGATCCAGGTTTTGCAACTATTGCTGCTTGAAATGTTCAAGGTTTTTTTTTTCCTCCCTTCTCAGTTATCTTTAATAGGTTCTACCAGTCACAACCTAAATTTGTAAAACAAAAACCATAACATTTAAAACTCATACTGGGGAAAACAGGCAAATTTTAGACGTGTGCAGATGCCTGCCTTTATTTAGAACTACTTACAAAAGTGGATTTATTTTGCAACTTGATATGAAGTAACATTTCCATGCAAGAGATTTTTCTGCACCAATGTTTAAGAAATCTTCAATATCCACCTGCATAGCCACCTTAAATGCCTACTGCTTTGCTCACAGCAAGGTAAAAGATGGTTTATTTCTCCTTCTGTTTTCCTGCTGTGGTTGGAACCAAATTACAGGTAAAACCCTCTCAATAGTCAGATCTGCTCACACCATGCTGATTCTGCTCTGTCCATCTTATTCTACTCTGTCACCTGGGGATACGGTAGGACATCAGCAATCAGAAAGATTCATACTTCCAACACCCTCCAGACCAGAGCAGATTTCTCCCACTGAGTATTGATTCATAGTCATTGAAGAGGAACATTATCTTGGTCCTAAGCATCTGCTCCTCAACACTAAACGGTCCACATCTCAAGACTTAAAATACTGAAGAGCTCAATTTTGCTGCAACGGTGTTAAAACCATATGTCTCTATATGGACATCAGGGTCAATAGTTGTCCTTTAATAAATGAAGAGAGTAACTTCCCTCCTACAATAAACACTGTAGCAGCAAAACAAACCACGCTCTTTGACACTGCATGGTTATCAGTGGCCAACTAGACAGCCAAAAAGTCTTCCAACATATTTTCTAATGTATTTTTCATGAGCTTCAAACGACTTTTCATCAATATCCAGGGAAGACAAATTCCTGCCATTGTATCCTTGCAATTACAGCTGACAAGACCATTTTATAAAGGGCATTAGGCTACAAAAAATAGCTCAGGGATTATTTCTTTTTCTTCTGCCTTGTCCCCTCCACAAGTTACCTGGCATATAAAAACCAACAAGTATCAAATCAAAGAACACAGTCACTAATACTCAACACCTTACCTTTCACATAGCTAGGACTGTGCAATACTGGTTTTTATTTGGTCTGCTTTTGGGTTTGCCAGAAATTTATTTTAAATATCATTCTTCCAAGTGTTCCCTTTTTAAAAAAATACAATAAAACAAGTTATAAAACTAGAAGAGCCAGAAAGAGTTAAAGAAATTCTAACTCCTATGCTACACCTACCCTGAAAAAATATTGGTAAAGATCTGAATATGACTGGCAAAGCAGATGGCTAGTTTGAAAAGATTTCAAAGAGAAGCCAGACTTATTTTTTGTCCATGTTGAAATATAGCATAAGCCGATATAAGAGGCCTGAAACCCTTCAGGGAAAAGAAACAGAAGCTGTTTTGTATGCAACAATTATTTATCTACTTATCCATCTCACATTGGTTGGTTTATAAAATGACTTGCCTTGAGACATCTGTTGAAGTATAACAGGAAGACTATTGTGTTTCTCTGAAACATTTCATTCTATTTAGGTAAGACTCCCTACTTCTGAAATTCAGGCTCTACAGGGAGACTTTCATTGCTTTTCAAAACAACAACATTTATTATGCAGTTCTACAACAAATGGAAAAATATTTTCCTAGTTATAAAAAATAAAATGAGACGAAAATTTAAATTGTATGGCACAATAACTTGTCCAGAGACGCAGCAGTATGAATGAACGTCACTCCACTGCAGAACTTTTAAGTCCATCAAAATTTCCCTGATTTAGTCCGAGACACTGAAAATTTTCTGTGACTTCTACTCCTTGTGCCTTAAGAGACAGTAATGTTACCGTGTAAAAAATATTTGCTATTCGAATAGTAGGAACATTTCCTTCTCTGGCAAGATAGCAGCTGATTACTCTACTAACAGTGTGTGATCTGCATTGCTGGCATGAGACAGCTGCAAATTTAAAAATTAGTAGTGTTAGTTTATTATAAACAATATTCCTCCCGCCCTACTACAAACAACTCCTTCCTTATCATCATCATAAAACGCCAGCTAGAGATCAGGAATGGCAGAACAGCTACTGCTTCGAGCAGAGCGCTCTGAAGGGAAACACAACCACATGCTCAGCCTGCCCGGGCAGTTCAAACCTACTGTGGCACCTTCTGTTGGTGCTTTCTGTGCCTGGGCCCTGTACTTTTAAGAGGAGTAGGAGAGGGGTGTGGGGGAGAAAAGATGGAATAGATTTTAACAAGTCCCTTCCCATCAACATTTCTGTGATTATAACAGAATAATTATCAGAAACAAAAGAAAACCCACAGCTAAGCCAGAAAAATCTAGGTAGGTATTAATAATTATTTCTGTTTATCCTCAGTTATCTTTTATTGGGCCAATAATTTTCCAGAAAGATACCTTAGTATAGTAAAAAAATATTGAAATCACTCAGCCCCATCAGTCTAAGATCATTTTGGCTAGAACAGTGTGGTACTGAAATCTTTGTTCAGATGAGATGGTTGAAATATATCTTTTATAAAGATGCCTGATTTCCAGTTGGGTTATTCCCACTGTCAGGACCAGCAACACCATCCTCGTGCACACACACAGAGAAAAAACCACAAAACAATAAACAACACAACCCACAAGTGATCATAGATACCAAAATCCTTTCTACCCAAGGATCGCTCGCGAGATAAACATCCTGAGCAAGACAAGTCACCAGGCAGCTGGTATTGCATCAAGTCTTAGAGGAGCAATGAGATACAAGAATCCAAAGGGCACCAATACAGTAGCTTCCTTTCAAGCTGAATGTACTGAATGTTTTTAAAAAGCAATAATTACTATTAACAATTGTGTTGTGGTAATGCCTAGAGGCCTCATCCAGGTACCAGGAGAATGGTGCCAAGCAGTGTGTATACACGTGCTGGGAGGCGGGCCCTGCTCTCGACAGCTTACACACCACATTTTGAAAATCTGGCTGTGGAGATACTCTGGGGAAGAAGAAAACCTTGTAGAAAGAGCGAGCAAAATTTGCATGATGTCCAGAGATTGTAACTAGTGGCAACACTCTAAGGTTTAACCTTGCCCCTCCAGTCACATGGGCATAGACCTGACTTATTCCAATAGATGTTGTCCATACTTTTCCCAAAGGCAGGTTTTAACCCTTTCAACTTTATTTTTCTTCCTAGTGTTAATGACAACAAACTGTGTTTACAATGTTCTCAAATTGTCCAACTGATTTTTCTTCTGGGGAAAACTTGCTTTAAAATGTGGTTTCTATTTAAAACCTTGTATAACATATTTTAGCCCAAAGCATTATTTAGCAGCTACATTCTAAACCACTTCAAAAATGTGTTTTTTATAATAGAAATTGTAAGAGGTGACTACCCTAATGTTTGTTTGACCTTCCCCTCTCACAGTTTTGCTATACCACCCAACTCTTTTCTTTAAATAGAAAAAGTCTGTATGTATAACAATCCTGATATGAAGGGGGAAAATGTGTTTCAAGTGAGGTCATATATCATATCAATGGAATAAGACAGTGCAATTGCTGCACATGTTGGAGTTGACCTACCTGAAACATTTGGAAAAGCTATCAGAATTGTGCCAGGGTCACATGAAGAACACTTATACAAGATGTTTACATTTTGTCTCTGCCAAGCAACTACTCCATTTAATCCCCCACAACAATTTAGCAAACAAAACTTATCAGCAAAAAGAAAACAGGGTAAAGCAGCAATTCTACCCTCTCCCAGAAAAACTTAAAATTTGGGGCAGGGGGAGAAAGGGGAAAACCAGTTCTTTGGCTCCCTAGCTTCCTAAACCCACAGCTTGAACAACCACCACCAGCTACTGCCAACCTGCTGGACAGTGGTTCCATAGGGGAAAACTTGGCACTGCATGGCTATACCCTTTCTTTCTCATCTTGCAGCCTAGCTTTTCACATGCACAAACAAGCAGAGAATACACATACACACAAAAAATTAAATAAATACTCTCAGCAGTAAAATGTGAAGTAACCACACAGAGTCGAAGACACCTTTAACACATGGTTCAGCTCTGCCACACACAACGGGCACAGCAAAAACACTGGAAAAAGTCACACTGTCACCACGCAACTGCCAGGTGGAGAACTCTGCCCAGGAGCACAGGCAGGGAACTGCTTAGGGAGAACAAGATGTGTGCAATGAGCTTTGTCACCAGGAAAGGAGAACAGGGCTTGAATTCTTACCCTGTTGTTGACTCTAACCTGTCCTCCAGCTTGTGGAACTGCCTGAAGTTAGTAGATCACAAGTGACCCGTGTCAGTGAAAATTAAGAGCCTTCCGACTGCACCCTGTCTGTCTTCTCATCACCCTGGTTGCTACATGAAGAAACTAGGAGGCAGTCAGACTTCCTATTCCTTTTACTATTTTAGGTGCCTCTTTCAGGCAACTAACTCCAATTCCTAACAACTCTATCTGTCAAGCTTCTTTATTATTTGCTTGCAGGGCCAGCAAAATTATTCACAAATTCACTCTTCTTCACACGGTTACAAAGACCAGCCATGATTTCTGCTGCTTCTAAACCAAGTTAACAGTGTAGGCTCTGGAATCACTTGAAATTTAACAACCTAATCCCATGAGCTAGAGAATCCTAACATTCTGCACAAATTGATGAGGTTAAGGCAATTTCAGGCAAAACTTCAACTCCCTCGTTGCAGATGCTGAAAACCCCTGCAACAGCAGTAAGTGGGAAACCTGTATTTAATGCCGCATAAATAAAATGCAGTTTTCCTTTCGATGAGCACACAGATTCCTCCAGGATCCTCCAGCTGAGATGCAACCATTCTCTCTACTCATTCCACACTTCCTCTGCGACATCCAAGAAAATATACAAACAGAACTACACCCACATCATCTCCTCCAGATATTTGGACCCATATGAGCGTGCTTGGTATTTCCCAGCCACGTGTTTTAACTCTCCAGCCTCATCCTTTTGATGCCAACAAAAACATGATACATTACTCACAGAAGTTAAGTGTACTGGATACATTTCTACAAAAGACCACAGTGACAAGAGGAGCAAGGGCTCCTTTGAGAAACCAAAGAGGAGTGGCATCTCCATGTTTTCCTTCAGATGACATTCACTGCACCTCCTGCATGTTCTAAGTCACCTCTTCTTCCTCCACAACAAAAAAAGAAAAGCCTCAGAAGCTCATAAAACCCAAGAAACAATCCATTTAGGAGTCACTGCTTTGAAAACATCCTTGTTTTTCTAAGCAAAATCCATCACTCCACCATAAATCACAAGTCACCCTAACTAAGAAGAAAATAAACTCTGTTGACAACATAGTCCCTTCCCCAAAGGGCAAAGTTCTGCTTCAACTAATCCAAAGAGAAAGAAATCAACGTCTGTTCCTAAACCTTCTCCTTCTGCACAGCAACATAAAATGCTACCACAGTGGTATGTAAGGTCATCAGCTTCAAAGCAGCTTCAACTACTGTACTTGCAGAAGCAAAAACGATGAAAGACGCCATATGGCTTCTGTCACGGTAGATAAAGCTAATGGGGGTATATAATGAAAATTTCAATTTCTCCTTTCTTTGTTTAATCTTTCCCAGTGCAGCACCGACAGTCCCCTGCAAGCCTGCCTTTTCCAGCTACAAAGAACTACTTCCTCTTTGAATCACATATCTTCTCTGGCAGATAAAACGTTTTACTTAACAATGTCCTACAGTTCAGCAAACACAACTGAAAATGTACAGGAAAAAAAGTAATTAGATAAACATCTGATACTATGATAAATCCTATTACAGAAACTCAACTTAGACATTCTCATAGACAGCTGAGTCAGAAGATAAAAGCCTATGGTCTCATGAGCACAGCACATCAAAAATGCAAGCATTAAGACTTACCAATTTCTTCTATTTCTTCCAGGAAATCATTATATTCACTTAGACTGGGAAAGTCATCCTCTCTTTTATTGTATCTTTGAGAGAAGAGAAACAAGTATTTATATAACACACAAAGATACAATTTCAATTCAACAAGACTCTTGCTGCAAGCATATTAATTATCGACCTAGTTTTAGCAACTAGGTGCTTTGTGGCTCCCACAACTGGCCAATGTACAGAATCTTTAAAAAGAGACAGTAGTGCTTGTTTCAAAGGAAAGGAGCCAGCCTGGCATAAATCAGTGTTAAGTTTGCCTACTGTTTGCTGATTCCTTCTCCAGGGTTACAGGTAAACAGGAGCACCGAGGCTCGGATACGCTAATTTCAAGCCAGCCCTTCAGCATGAGAAACTGTTAAAAAGAGACAACAGTAACACCCACAAGAAAAGCTTTTCTAGAAGCATCAGAAAAGGGAGTTTGGTTTTGTGCCAACAGCAGAAAGCATACGTCAGCAGCAAACTGAAAATGCTACACAATTATTTCATTTCATATCCATAGACCATTCCAGAACTCATTTATCCAACACTCGATAGCTGCAAAGTAAAACGATGAAGGGACAACTGGCTAGAACGTGAGCAACCTCTGGAAGTCAGGACACACAGGCCTTCTTCCCAAGAAAATATAAAGCTGAGATTCTGCCTGCTCTGTAGATGAAGATGCATGACACTGAGGAGTATAAAAATCTAATCCTGAGAACTCAGGCCAAATTACAATTTGGGGACAATTTTTTCTGTCTACTAAAAACTAATCTGGCAAATCTAAGTAGGACAAGCATTTTACAATGTTTTCTGCTCTAACTGCACTTCATTCCGTGTTCAGTCAACTAAGCTGACTTCATTACAGTTTTACTTTTGTTAACTTCAGTAGACTTTATAAGCAAACATCAAAATTATTACTACTTTCCACAGCAGGATCTTGGTATTCAATGACTCAATTTCCCCGCACCTCAGCAACATCATATGATTCATCTAGTATTGAACTAAGTCTCAGGAAAAGCCTGCCAAGCTTACAATTTACCTGTACGTTCATTTTTGCATACACAACTCTCTCCAGGTTTGTTTCATTCTGTCAGACCCTCTTCTACCAGAACATCAACTGGAATACTTATTTTCCTTATAAAATGTTGTTTCTTGGCCACAAGGAGCGAGATGGAATTTTAGACCTCATTTATCTCAATACCAAGAGCTCTCAAATTTTCATGACAGCCTAGTAACATTTCCACTAACAACTGCTGTGTGAAGTGGAAAACAATGTGAACATAGCTTCTCTTTTGTCAATTTTCATTTTTAAGAGAACTAGCCTCCCACTCTCAGAACAGGTCCCCAGGGAACAAAGCAATCAAGGTCTTGTTTATTGCCCCACTCCCATGTCCAACCCCTCAAAGGGAAAGCAGCTGTAGCCCTCAATATCTAATCATCTCCATTTAGGAGGCAAATCTTCACCAAAGGAGACCACATAGAAACACCCAACATTTTCTAATGCTAAGCAGGAACCCCTCAGGGCTAAATTGAGATTTCAGGCCTCAGTTGTTGCGTAAAATCAGATTCTCTGAAATCCCTCCATGTTAAATGTTTTATGGGTTGTCACTTAAAAAAAAAAAAAAAAAATTGTCTCCTCTGTACTACTGGAGGAGTAAGTAAATTTTTTGTAAATGGTGATCCCCAAGAGTTGGGGTTGTTCAGCCTGGAGAAGAGAAGGCTCCGGGGAGATCTTATAGCGGTCTCCCAGTACCCGAAGGGGCTACAAGAAAGCTGGGGAAGGACTTTTCATAAGGGCAGTTAATGACAAGACAAGGGGAAATGGGTTTAAGCTGAAAGAGGGGAGGTTTAGATTAGATATTAGGAAGAAGTTCTTCACTGTGAGGGTGGTGAGACACTGGAACAGGTTGACCAGAGAAGCTGTGGCTGCTCCTCCCTGGAAGTGTTCAAGGCCAGGTTGGATGAGGCTTTGAGCAACCTGGTCTAGTGGAAGGTGTCCCTGCTGATGGCAGGGGGGTTGGAACTGGATGATCTTTAAGGTCCCTTCCAATCCTAACCATTCTGTGATTCTATGATCCATTAAACACATCCACCTTCTGTTCTTTTAACTGGTGAAACTCACATTTTCAGCACTTTCTTCCGAATTTCCACTTCCTTGTCAACAGCAGGATCCTCAAAGAGCTGTACCCTGAAGTTACTCTTCCGCAGGGGGGTATCACACTCCTGGCAGTTCCCAGCCCCTCTCACAAACAGCAGTTCCACACAGCTCTCACATCTGCGGGAGAAAGGAAGGGGTATAAAGGCATATAAATGTTAAAGAGTAACTGAAACACAGGATTGTCCCCCTTTTCTGTTGTTTACACACACACTATAAGTAACCAGTGCATCTCCCCTTGATTTCACTATTTCTTCAGCACCCAACAGCGATGACGAGGCAAGGGCTCTCCACCATGGCTGAAAGGAAACAATCTCAGCAGCACAAATGCATTTATTCTCCCTGCCCAAACAACTCAGCCTCTTTGCTGAGACTGAAAGTTAATCCAAACACAATGATGGGGTTTGTGTCAAGGGGAAGCTTGTTTATTGACACCATCAAACTCATTTTGCATGGACCAAACTGCAATATCCTTATTTACTCTGATCATTATCTTGTTGCACAAAAAGCCCCGTTTATTTTCTTGATGCCATTCACAGTGCAAAGTCCTGTTCTGCACAAGCCGGGATACAAGTCCTGCCCGCAGTCTTCCATGCATCCATCAGAACCACCATGGAGGAGCTGCTGTAACAAATCTGAGCTAAACTCCAGCCCAACCCAGGTAAAAGAACCAAAATACCATTTCAACCAGGGACCAGCATTATGCAGCTCTCCTGTGCCTTCTGTTAATACTTTTAAAATTGCATATAAAATATACTTTACACAGAGGCTCCACAGAAAGAAACCAAAAATACCTTTCTGATTTTATTTCTTTTGTCTTAATGAAGATTTCAGATTTTAACAAGATGCTTGCAGACTAGTCAGTTGGCGTTTAATACAGGAAGAACACACAACAAGAAAATCAATTTTTTTAAAAAAGTACTTGGGTGCTAATAATGTGCAAGTTTCTAGCAGAGGACAACACCTGCTGCAGTCATTTCCCACTGCTGGGGAGGCAAGGGGGTGTCTATTTATAGCTTTGCTATATTAAAGCCAAAACAGTTGTATGTTAAGGGCTAAGTTGTATTGTACCTTCACAAACCCAGCACAAAAGCTAAACAAGTTAAGAGAAACAATACTGACCTGGTTGTGAAGGACCTTAAACAAAACTTTTGCTCTGCTGACCTACCCCCAACTAAACTGGTTCCAGTACTGACAGAGGCAGAGCTGGCTAGAGCCAACCAGTTTTACCCAGCTTCTGTTTTCAAGATTAGAAAGTGCAAAACAAATGCAATTGTATCTTACAATTAAAAAAAAAAAAAAAAATAGAGCAATTTTTGTTGTTGTTGTTGTTGTTAACACAAGTAGAACTACAGTTTCAAAATGCATCTTGCACAGCAGCTGCCAATATTAAAGAGCAAACCTTGAATTTATTTGGACATTTTCCTGCTCCAGAATTCCTTTAGTTAGAAAACCAAGCGCATTTAAATACAATTTATCTAGGAAGGGAATGATCAAACCTTTTAGCACACTAAGCCTGAAATTCAGAAGTTACTGGGCCATCAACTCAAGAAGAATGCTTCTTTATGGGCTGGAAAAAAACAAAATCAGTTCGCCGCTATGGGAGAAGCAACACTAAAAGTGAGAGAGAAGGTAAGGCAGGGAAAGGGTTTTCTCCTTCCTCCTCCAACCTGTCTGTGCATGCACCAGCCCCGTACATAAGGACAGTTTCACTGTCTCCTTCATTTTGGCAGCTCGGGCTGTTTATGTGTCTCTCGCTCAACACAGCAGCCAAAGCACAGCAAAAAAAAAAACCCTGCCTCCTCTTTTTCCTATTTTTAAGCTATAGGAAAGGGAGTGTAAAGCTACAGAACTTGGCAGGTGGATCCAAGTGCAGGTGTTTGTATGGGGTTTTTTATCACGGTATTGCCTAAGGACCAACAGAACAGGGTCTCCATGTGCAGGATATTATACACAGACAGTAGCACCTGAAACTACTTCACTTTTCACACACACACACACACACCCCATCCTTTCCCTAAATCAAAGACATTTCAAGTTTACACAGGACTTGACCACAGAAAAAAATTCCTCCTTGGAAGACAGTTTCATGCTTCAATGCCTTCCCAAACTGGAATCAGTGTTTCTAAGGCTGGAAAATAGCTTTCTGTACAAAAAAAAGATGAGTCAACACCTCACTATGGGAATCCATATCGGGTGATCACATTCTCACTCACTCATGCACATGCACCCTTATATTTATTCACAGATAATTCCTTCTGAATTCAAAAGGGGTTACATGGAACAAGTCAAGGGCAGACCTGAACTCTGACCAAATCTTGCCTCCTCCCCATCTCTGGACAGATTTAATATACACAGTTAGATCCCAGCTCACTTCCTGGCAAGTCTGTCATTCTTGCCCCCACAAACTGCAACTGCTTTCCCATCAATGGCAAGCATGCTTGGTCACACATTTCCATATGATTCTTGAGGAAGGAAAAAAGCCATCTCCCAAATCCCTCTCTAACGAGTTCCTTTTGGTTTCGAAACGCTGTAGATCGCTGAAGTCAGAGCATCTACAAACACCAGGGACACAGATTTCAATAAAGGTGGATTTAATCAATTATTTCATGTCTTGAAATAAAGATTTCAAAACGTGAGTTGAAAAAAATTTTTTGTACTGTAAAATTTAAAAATACAGCATGACTTTAAAAAAAAATTAAAAATTTTGTGACTTCACCAAAGGTACCCAACCCAGGCAGAGTCAGACACTCCAGGCAGCACAGGGAGACACCCCAACACCACAGCTGGCATTGCAGAGCTCCCTCATGGCACACAGGCCACATAAATCCAGGTGATCCTTTCATTTCTTTGCAAGTCCAACTCTTTTCCACTTGCCTTAGTGCAAGGGCAGTCTGACAGGGAAGCAGGACATCATTCAGTGCATTTTTTATTGGCCAACACATCATACATGGCTTTCCCCAAGTGAGCAAAGCACCAAAACACTTGCTTAACTCCCCTTCAAATCATGGCCAAACAGGTGGCCACTTGTTTTCTTAAATTAGGAGCCTTATATCAGCAATTTTTAATATGTGTATATACACATATTAAATGCAATTTTTAATATGCTGCATACATAGACTAATGATGACAAATGTTCATGTTTAAAAAACAAGTCTATACATTTGTTCAAAAATGAGTATGTCTGAAGACAAGAGCTTCACATGAGGTCTTAACTAACACTCAGGGTGTGATATTGCCAACTCTTCACACCGAGGTTGTACGGCCTCTGTGATCTGTATTCTATTTCACACATTCACTAAAGTTTTTCATTATCTTTTCGATTTAAGTTTGTATCCTGTAATCTGGATTAAGATATCAATAGAAAATGCCCAGGGAGTTACATGTGCACAGATAACATGGGAAGACTATTAGTAATGTCACCAACAAAAGCAAGCACAACACCTCCAGGAACAATGAAGTCTCCTGGTCTTCCAAACCAGGACAATAAACATCAGTATGCTCATTTTCATTTCCATGGACACTGGTTTGATCTGTCTCGTTCTTCTCTTTCATCCCCATGAAATATTAAACAAATACCTGCTTTGCTAATTGATGGGGGTAGCAAAAAGGACACA